TGACATGTATCTAAAGAAGTGCTTAATCAAAACAAATAGATAAACCTCTTATGTAGGAGACTGGTGCCCGTAAAAGGCAACTACAGATAGCTACCTGCACTAACAGGTCACCAGGCCCAGACTGTCATACATAAACCTTACGTGTATCGCATATCTTAATGGAAAATTGAATACCTATTCCAAATTTGAAAAATACACTGTCAGAGAGAAAAACATGACATGTAATCTAAGAAGTGCTTAATCAAAACAAATAGATAAACCAATTATGTGGGAGACTGGTGCCCGTAAAAGGCAACTACGGATAGCTACCTGCACTAACAGGTCGCCAGACCCAGACTGTCATATATAAACCTTACGGGTATTGCATATAAATAATAATAATAAATATTTCCAACACTCACACCAATTAGCCTAGCCCCAAAGTAAGCACTGTAAAGGCTTGTGTTATGGGATACTAGGGTAACGGATAGAATACATATATTGTACATATATAAGTATATTTATATGAAATACATATTAAACATCCATGACTGGAGTACAAATGCTCGTATTCATTACACAAACATCTGCCCCCACCGGGATTCGAACCCGGGACCTCTCGAGTCGGCGACGCCATGAAACCCGGCGTATAAACCACTCGGCCACGGAGGTCGTCAATATATATAAACCTTACCTTATATATATATTAACCTTTTATAAATATCTTAATGGATAATTGAATACCTACTCCAAATTTGAAAAATACATTGTCAGAGAGAAAAAAATTACATGTAATCTAATATAAGAAGTGCTTTAATTACTGCAGACTGCATTGACAAAAACGTGCAATAGTATATTAAACGTAATACACAAAAATATTTATTATACCTTTGAGAAACCAAACAAAGAATCCCAAGTCCAGAAGGCAGCAGGGGATACCAGAACCCAGCCCTTACCATAAAATTAAAATAGCCATTTGTGAGTTAGGAAAAGACTGAACAATTCATGTTATAATATGTGTATAGATATTCGTATCATTACAGAAGAAGTTAATAGTTTGGGTTCAACATTCACGACCTGTATGAGGAGCTCGATGGCGCAAGTGGTTAGCGCGTTCGGCTGTGATCGTTGAAGTTAAGCAACATTCGCAGCGGTCGGTCATTGGATGGGTGACCAAAAATTTACTATCTCGAGCTCCTCCGTGCTTCGGAAGGCACGTTAAGCCGTTGGTCCCGGTTGCATCTGCAGTCATTAGCACCCACCAATCCGCACTGGGCCAGCGTGGTGGGTCATGGCCTAATCTCCCTATTCCATCCATAGGGAAGGCCTGTGCCCCAGCAGTGGGGACATTAATAGGCTGATGATGATGATGATGACTCACGACCATCGCTTTAAGCACAATTACGAGTAGATCAGCTAACAGGCTTACATTCTACTAGGTACGTAGGCAATAAAAAGTAACAAAAAACACTAAACTTTTATAATAATGATGAATAAATAATTTAATATCGAAAGTCGGCAATTTTTCGGTATCTAGATACTTTAAGATATGAACTGCTAAAAGTCATTAAGGATGAATAAAACTGTATTCCTGGTTATAAGCACCTAAATCTTCCTTTAACTTCCATTACAGCGTTATTTCAAGCTTTGAACTGCTAAAATTATATTCATAGGTAATATTCTAAAGAAAATTTTATAGACAATAATTTACTAGACAATGTCAATATTTCTTGTACTTAAAAAAGTTTAGTTGAATCACATGACAAGTCAACTAGATATTATAATATATTGTTTTAAACTTTCATAGTCACTAATATTATAGTAATAAAAGTTATTTACGGGATTGTTACCATATACCTTGTTTTTAGCCAGTTTCCGATATTTCGGCACTGTTGCAAGCGACATGAACACGGAGTAACTGAAAACTCGCTAAAAACAAGGCACATGGTAACAATCCCGTAAATAACTTATATTACTATAGATATTATAATCTACAGAATTTTAAGTACTCTTAATATAGATTGGTATTTTCTTATTATCGTCTCGATTGGCTTATCTATTTCGTTGAGTTCAATGCGATCTTTTACGAAACTAACCTAATAAGATTCGCTGTAAAAACTCATTAAAGTATTTAATATTATAAAATAGCTGCGTTGCGAGATCAAAGTTCAAAGTTGATTTCATTTAATTATGTCTGTCTTATAAAGAACTTAATTTTACTTGCGTTATCTACGAGTATGTCTAAATTGTTAGTATTATCGTTGGACTATTTAGAAGAGTTATAATTACATTTTGATATTTGTATGAATAATGTCTGAGGTTTTTTATCTAAATAAGTAATTAATATTATGAAGAACTTATTTCAATCATATATATACCATTGAAATATTTTTACGGTCACTGTATTTATTAGGGGTTCTGCACAAATGAAATTTTACAATTCTTGGGTAAAACTTACGTGTCATGCTGTATTTCTTCACTTAAGCTCAGAACAGGAGCTTCACTCTCTTTTTCCTAAACGAAATTTCGGTAACGAGCGAATTTAAAACGAAATTTCTTCACTGACTCTATTTCATTTTCGAACACGCGCATAAAGTTCGGATTCAAAAACAATTTTCGTGAACGAATGGAATAAGTCAGGTTTGTGAGTTCTTTTTATCTCCACTTTTTAGATGACGTTTTACACTTGGAAACAATATTACTTCAATATTTCAAATCAATCAAATTTTGTCGTAACAAAATTTTTGATGATTTTCAAAAGAACCTTCTTTGACTTTGTTAGCCGACTAATTTATAGAGCTAATACAATCGATTGTATGTCAACCTAAATTTGTCGTTTAATACTTTGAAGTATCGGAAAAAAATTGTTAATTTGTTAATATTACATGGTAAAAATGCTCCCCGAGCTAAGCAGCTAAAATACTCTAGGCCTAATTAAAACAAAAATCCCAAAACGAAAATAAAAAAGGTACCACTTTTCATTTCGTCAATTTGAGGTTAAAATTTCGAACAATTATCTGTTTATATATAAATAATAAATGGAAACACCAGAGCGAGCGAACGAGTTTGCCTAGACTCAGGGAACAAAATGCTCTCTTGCTCAGTCATCAATAGAATAAATGTTGTTCACTCGCAACTGTTCTGAGCACAAGGTGAAAACGCAGCATCAGGAAGATATGCCATTTGTAATACTAAATCAATGATTTTTTATGTAAAAACATTATTAAGTGTGTTGCGATCTGACACCTTTTATCGATATCAGACGTATTAAGTTTATGTGGGGACTGAAAATTAACTCTAAGTGTATTTTCATGTTAGGGTCGATGATTAATCAGCCTTTTCAGGTCCGTGGGTAATTATTAAATATATTTTTCCATATTCTTATTTTATTTTAGAAAACTTTATTGTTACTACGTGAGTACCATTACATTTTTTTTCCAAACGGTGGAATTTAGACTTTTAGATCATCATCTTCATCATCATCAACAGCCTATCTTAGTCCACTGCTGGACATAGGCCTTTCCAATTGCACGCCACTGAGATCGATCTTCGGCTATTTAGATATTTTATTTTAAAATGTATTATAGTTAAGGTCACAGCTGTTGGATAGTCCAAAACTTTCGGCTACTACTCACATATGTAACACATTTCTCAGCTTATGACGATACCTAATGTAATGTCGACTGATTTTAAATTATTTCGTAATTGACGTCCTATGTTGATTTATGTGGGAATTTTTAGATACCTTGCTTCGTTTACAAAAGTTGCAATACATAAATTTATAGAATAATCAAAAAGAGGTATTGAATATTTCAAGTAGGACATAATATGGGCTTAAATTGTGAGGCTAACTACTAGCATTTCATCTAGGTAAAAAAATAAACTATTAATGTCATGATTTCTCTTTTAAACGTTCACTAAATTCGCCATGTTTACTTTGTCGCTGTTTTAAATTACTTATCCCAATAACAGTATTTTCAAGTTTTACGAAATACATAGCTTCATTATAGGCTAGACACTTGACACTTTGTTATTTCACAATTATAATATTCATTTGTCTTTAAATTGAATAAATTTCAACGTTTATCTAATAAATTAAGCCCGTTTCTGAAGGAGATTAAAATACGTGTTAAATGATCTCACAATTTCTCGGAACACCTCATATCACACACATCCCAGAAAAGGCGCTTACTATATAAACAAATTTATAATACGCATTTTCATTTAGCCCAATATTGCGAGATATTTCATTATTTTCATTTCATCTATTATTGATGATATATATAATATCTTTAAATAAACCATAGGAAATATTATTTTTATGTTAATCAATATAGAATAAAGAATACTAACAAATAGGACTAAAGTTACTTCAACAAAATATATCTAATAGACAAACACTAAAGTTTACAAGTTAAATTATATACAGCATAACTGTTGTTCTATTCTATTACTGGATATAGCTCCATAAGCATAAATGTTGGTCCAAGTTATGCAGAAACAACGAACCCATGTTATAACAAGTTTGAAATATTAACCAGACAAGCATAAGCCCCTAAGCTCCAAGCTTGCTCCTAGCTTCTTTTTACAACAAATTGAAATTCTTATCCAAAGCTTTACCTTGGAACAAACTTATTTGTATTTGTGTAAATTTTTAGATATCTTTAAAATTTCCTTTGTATGTTGCTGATGAATAAATGATGATACGCTTTAAGAGTTATTAATTAATGTTCAGTAACGTGTAATTGTTGGAATATTTTATAAAGCTTTTTACTTCTTTTAAAGTCAAGATTCGTTATTAGCTTTAGTATGTAGATAATATTTAATATCGCTAGAACAAGGCCACCACTGATACCGTAAATCAGATTAATGAAATAATTTAGCATTACTGACTTGATCCGTAGAAAGCATAACATATCCCCTATTTGTATTCCGCACATACTAATGCTTAGCATTAACGAAGTAATCCAGGCCCTTCGAAAAACAACAGCCCCATTTGCATAATAGAAAAAGGTCCTCACGTTTTAGGTATTCCATCGACGATGGTCCCTCGAGCGGTATTATTGCGAGCACGTAAAAAAATGTCAAATAATAAATCACGTATTAGAACATTAGCACGAATCGAATTTTGAGTTCACGCACTCGCGGCCGCGGAGCTACCAGTGCAGCATACGTCCGCTCGCTGTAGCGGTCGAGCGACGAATGCTTTCAATGCTTCGCTCACACAGGTGCAAAACACACTAGACTTGATACACGTCCCGTTATTTAGAGGGAAATCACTTTGATTCGGGCCCTACGTAATTATCTGGGCCGATTAGATTTAATGATTGGTTCCTGAAATGGGTTTTTTTTACCACTGACTGTTTCGTAGAATTGCGTGATGTAATCTCGGGATCAAGGGCGTTGTTTTCGTAAAATGTTTCTTGTAATTCCCTTTGGGTTAAAATGGCTATTCGTAAACATTATCATTGTAAATAAAAGCAAACATAAGATGTACAAAAAAAAACTAACATTTTAAACGCGTAGCTGAAACTCTGAAGATATTTAGATTAAAGAATACTGTATTTACTGTTTCACTTAGGTATTTTAAATAATGTTTTTTTACCTAATTTTAAGAAGAAATATCTCTAGAATTCAAAACGATTTGAATTTACCAATCGACCTTTTACAATGTTAATAAATTTATGAGATTAAAGTAAGACAAATTATTCTTGGCGCCCAACGTGGGATTATGAAAATTATAGAATACGTCCACTTCACCTTTTGCGTACTTACATGACGATTTTAAATCAACAGATATAAATTAGAACATGCATTGCATATCCCTGTAACATACTACAATGAAACACTACGAGGCACATTTAGGTTCCTTTTTGTCGAAATCCTTGGCTCCAATGCCATATGGAGCAGCCACAATACTCGTGAAAATAAATCATACATAGCTCCTTGGTATTCAGATCGAATCGTTCAAGCACTCGATTTTCATGCACTAGTCTCTCGCAAGCCTCGAGCATTTCAGCAAGAGAACTGTTTTACCTCAGTAAATACTCTCTATTTTGTTTTTGAGGTGACTTGAGCTGAAAAGGCTGAGTGCTTCACTTCAACAAATGCACATGACTAATAGAAGAAGGTTTGCATACGAGACACGACATAACTATCTTTCGCTGTATCACAGTTAAAGGTGATCGTCTGATCAACGAACTATTAGAACGATTTAAATACCCTTTTATTTCATGTACCCCGTCTTTTTTATGTTCTCACCTAGAGGTTTGGAATTGTAGGGAAATTATTTTTGGAGTTTACTCCTTAAGAATCGATTTGCATATATAAGGGGCCCGGTATGAGAAAAATGTGAGCAGTAAAATCTATCGATGAATGACCTCGTTACGTTTTTGGTGCGCATCCTATGTCGCGCAACTTTGACAAACAAATATGACGGATTGACATTAATAAAAATTTTAAAATCTGAACTGAATTAAGATATTGTTTCTGATAGAGCAATGGGGACAACGAGGTATGGTACAACCATTGATGCGGTATTTTCAAGATTCGTGAACCACGTATCTACAAACGTCCATGTGTCTTATTTTAGTTACCATAAACCACTTGTCACTGTATTAATAATGCAGACAATGTTGATTTAATTAATATTTAAAAAAATGATAAAAGTGTGATAATAATAATTACATAATTTATCAACATTCCTAATGATATATTTATGCACATCTGAAATTGACTATTGTAAAAAGTTTAATATAAAATATTTCGTCGATTATATATAATAAATGTATATGAAATGAATAAATATATATTTATATATGTATATTATTTTCATTAATTTGTTAATTTACCCTTTCATACAGTATCAATCTTTTTTAAGTTAAATAAACTCCAGTCGCGCGTCGGAGCTGACACACACATTCTTTTTTTCTATGAGTACCATTAAATAATACAGCCGAGTAAGTAACACGTTATGTTACCACAAACAGTTTTACATACTAGTACATTTTTACATAACAACAATGGAAAGGAAAAATGGCTTGTCGCCACTTTAGTCGAAAATGCGATTTGTTAATATTTCGTGAAGATTTGAGTACTTTTTCGGCGCTTAAACAACTAAATAAATTATTTCATTGTGTGTATACAAAATAAATAATATTTTTGAAGATTTTTATTGTTCACTAGTGGCCCGCCCTCGTTTCACTGCGGTGTAGAGTTGTAGTGTAGATTTAAATGACTCTTCATATAAATAATTATAAAAAAAAGTGAAAACGGTGTATTTGCCTTTTCCAAACTCCTATTGACATCACGTCGCTCAATTGTTTTGCCTTCCCAGAATCTCTCCACTAACATTAAAAATTTATGGAATGGTATTAAAGTTCAAATTGACTTGTCAGTATTATTACGAATCGTTTGTATGGGAGTATAGGAATGTGTTGTTTTTGGACTTTTTCAGGCATTTTTTTAACATCAATAAATAAATAAAGTTTTGTGCATTAACCCGTGAAAAACTAGTTTTATTTAATGAGTGATGTACGTGAAAAACTAAGAAACAATTTTTTTTTTAATTTTCCCTGCGTAAGGACTATCGTACTTCAAGGAATATTCTAAAAAGAGAATTATCGAAATCGGTTCAGCTGTTCTCGAGATTTGCGCTTAGCAACACATTCAGCAATTCATTTTTAATATTATAGAAGAAGATAACGCTAAAGAGACATACGTCTTGGTGTTTTATGAACCAATGGCGCTTACGCGCTACAATTTGACGTATTATTTGATGTTTGTTTGTCATAAAAATTATGCCGGTCCGAGTGATTTTCGCTTAAGCAACGCACAAAAAAGCACTTTTTAATAGGGGGAAATTGCGATTTTTAAAGTGGCGTTTAAGACATATACCTTTGTACATTTTTCTCAATAGTAAATCATATGCGAGGGTGCGGTTTTAAGTTCGAATGGGAGGGTAGATGATAAAATCAGGTCCTTATTTGAGTGGTCACTACTTCAGCCACTCGATGTAAATAATAAATACCAGGTTTTGTCTTAATTGGAGTCTTTAAACTATCGTCAAGCAACTCAATCGGGAAAAAAGTGTACATTATGGAAAAAATCGAGTACCGTGCCGTAATAAAGTTCCTTACCAGGCAAGGAAAGTCAGTTCACAACATACTGGAAGAGGCGGAATCTGTTTACTTGCTTACAGGGGACTTTTGACCAGGTAAAACCATGGTTTACAAGTGGAACAGTCTCTTTAAATAAGGCAGGATCTCACAGACGGCCCACAGACCGGACAGGCCATCGAGGTGACTACTCCGGAAATCTTTAAAAAAAAAGTCTAAAAAATAATAGTGGATAAAGAAGAAATACCTTGCAGAAACGGTTGGAGTATCGGATACGAGAAATTTCAAAATTCTACACAATCATCTTGGCATGACAAAGGTCAGTGCAAGATGGGTGCCAAGACTGCTCACGCCGGCTCAAAAGTACGCCCCGGGGAGTCTTCTTGCACGTTTTTTTGGAAATTTGTAACGAAGATAAGGATGGACTATTGAGTCGAATTGTTACTGGAGATGAAACTTGAGTTCATCATTATCAGCCTAAGTCAAAACAGGACTCAATGTAGTGGAACAAAAAAGGCACACTACCACCCTAGAAGTATAAAGTGTCAGGAAAAATCATTGCAACAGTATTTTGGGATTCGGAAAGGATCCTGTTGACCGATTATAAAGATAAAGGCGTTTCTGTAACCGGAGAATACTATGCTTCTATCCTCGAGAGGTTGAAAGAAAGCATTAAAGAAAAAAGGAGGGGAATAGATAGATCCGACAATGACAATACAGCAGTTCTACCTGCCACACCAGCCATCCTCACCCTGCCGGCCTTTTTTTGTATACTCAGACAAAAAATACTGTTTACGACTTTAAGAGGCACACCGCCGAACGGACCTCACACATGGCTCCCGCAAGCCTTACAAGCCCCAGCAGTGGCTACCCACTGAGGACCCCATAACTCTTACGGGCGCTTTACGGCATAATATACGCTAAAAAACCCTGCGAATACCCTCTAAGCTGCTTAGCGCGAAGCCGCGGGATCCCCGTTTAGGGATTCTTTCGCGTCTTCGCACCTAGCAGCCTCCCGGCCTAGCCGGGGCTCCACGGCAGAGGTCTCCCGGGGTATCGCGGGGACCCCGCAGACGTGGGCAGGATAGCCTACGCATGGGGGCTGAGTACGCGGCCTAGTGCCCACCGTACTGTAACGTCCTTGACGTTATAACCTCCTTGTTTAGGTAAACTCTTTGCTTTTGCAATGCCTACGGTTGGCAGTTATATTAAAAAGATAATGTCATGATTTTAAGATTTGAAATAAGGAATCGTCTGAAGGTTCCATTCTAGATTAGATCTTCAGGCACCAAGAACTTCCTCTCGTATTTAGATAAAATTTCTTTATATTCGCCTGAATGATAAAAAGAAATAAACAATTTATCTCTATCAGTATTTTTCAATTATCGACTACGCTCCCAGGTCCTATCCCTTCTGGGTAGAACGCTATATGGTGGAGGCGCCGGGTAGGATTCTACCGCGAGTGAAGTATATTTTTAAAGCAAGAAAGAAGTAGTTTTATGAAGATGGAGACCAGGACCACATTCGACGGAAAAGGTGATGTAACCGATTTCTTTCGTCAATTTAATATCATCGCCGCTATCAATAATTTCAACGAGGATACAAAAAGAGTTGTGTTGTCGGCATATTTGAGTGGACCTGCATTGTTGTTCTATAAAAAAATTAACGAGTCTTGTGAGAATTTTCAGATTCTAGAAAAGAAAATTTGTGAGGAATTTCCACCATCGATAAATGCGTTGGAAAAATTTTTCTCACGAAGACAAGGCTTGTCAGAAGAGCCATTGCACTTTTTTTATGTATTGGATGAGCTGGCCACAAAAGCGGGAGCTGTCATCGATGACAAATGCTTCATTAGACAGTTCTTGAAAAATGCGAATTTAAATACAAAAAATCTTTTCGCATTTCAGTTATACAGTGATAAAACACATTTGAGAAATGTTTTACGACAAGCGCAGGACATTTTTGAGGACGAAAGCGTCGAAATTAGTTGGAATCTGCCGATCCAACCATCGTTTGCTTGTGAAACGTCGAAAATTTCTCATATAATAAGGAATGAAGAGGAACAGGAGAAGGAGATCAACTTC